AGACACACCGTGGCGGCAGTTTTACATTGATTTGCCGGCATGGTGCATTTTCTACGAAGGGCTTCAAAATCCTTTTGTTTCTGTAGAAATTTTGTTTTTTTAACAGCTGTTGACATTATTGCCACAAAGTCATATCTTAATTCTCGGCCAAGATCTACATTTCCAGGAGAAGAACTGTGATCAAATAAAACTTGGTCAGTAATTCCAACCACATTTAATGCTTTCAACCCCAGGCTGAATTTCTCTTTTAAAGAGGATCAAAATGATCCTTTTTTGGGATCAAACTATTCTGCTCCAATTACTGAAAAAAAGAAGAGGTTTGGATGACGAAAGTTCACATTCAGAGTTTAGTGTTAAAAATGGCTTAGATAGCTTCTGCAATCAAATTTGAATGAAAAACTAGTCACTGACTTCCTTAATTCATTACCTGGTTTCAATAAGCCAAGAGATCAAAAATATTTATTGAAGTTTCGGCTTCTGGACTTCTGTCAAATTTCCTCTCAGGACCAAATGTTGATGAGATGAAAGGACGAAGGCAGGCTTGATTTGCAACAGCCAGTAAATACATGTTCTGACATTTGGCCCAAAGCAAGAAAACTGTTTTTGCAGCATTGTTTAACTCATTCACAGGTTGCTGCCTGAGCAGAAGGAATGAGAACTCCTAATGCTCACACACAGAGTTTTAGTGTAAAATCTGTTTCAATAAGGTCTTTTCTCCCACAGCCAAATCTTCAGTGCACAGCTTCCATATTTCCGCAGCACACATTCCACATTAGGCATAACTACAGTAGCTTTTTAGAGCAGATTTCATCATTAAGTGAAGCGCCGGTGCATTTGACTAAAACTAATTTGGTGGTCTTGCATTGATAACCGTGTGTAGTCATACGCACGCAGAAATAGAAATTGAGTGTCACAGGTGTGACGCCTAAAGATATGTCATGTGCTTAGAGTATATCAACATGTCACGCCTGCTCACGCGCGGTGCGCAGCATGCAGCGATGACCGGTGTAGCGAGGAACAGGAAGGGACAGAACAAATGCAGCAATAAATGAGGGTGAGCAGCTGTCGTTGCAGCTCCATTACCGTTTCCTGTGGGCGTTTAGCCTGTAAGCTCCTTTTTCTTTGCATTTCTTGGCAAATCTAATGACATAAGTTAGAGTGCTCGCTGACATTTCTCTGCATTTGTTCGCTTTGTGATCACTGCAGAAAAACGATGCTACGTGAGAGTCAAATATTCGTCTTACGCCATCAGGACATTGAAATGTAGCTGGATTTGACGCGTGAAAAGGTGCATCCATTGCAGAAACTAAAGCATACTGCTCTAATTCGTCTAGATGGGTCAGTAATCAAATTACCTCTGTAAATAAGATGTAGTACTTTAAAAGATTGTGTTCAACTGCAAGGATGTTCAAATTGTTTAAACTCTTGTTTTTTAATCATTGCACAAAGTAAACTGGGGCTCACAGTTAGTTCCCTTTACTTCATGTTTATGTTCTGACTTCAGTTTGACTGCAAGGGCTGCACGGTTCACAAATCATATTTTTGTACTCACTACCTCTTGGCAACAAAAGAGAAAGAAATAACCTTGATGAACTCACAAGTGCCCATGTTCCTGCTGTTTTGCAGTCAAAGTTGAGAAGTGTTAAATATGAAGTGCAGCCATGTTTTCCTGCCTGTTCCTGTTAGTTTTTATGCTGATAACAATAATAAATAAGAGCAATAATGCAAAAACATGCAAACTGCTTTTTCTGTGTCTTAATCATGTTTACGTTTTTCTGCAACTTAACCTCCACAATTTGTTCCTCAACCCCACTGCAACACGTCTTGCGTTTTCTGCACTTTAACTCATGGAAATGAATCGTATCAGATCCTTCAGACAACTGCATCTGCATGGATAAATTTTATACGTTTTTAAAAAGTTCAAGCGGGGGTGATCTCCCCTGGGTCCCAGGTCGCTGGATTCGGGTTCAGCCAGCTAGGGGTTGGGAGGCTGCGGGCGGGCCTGTGAGCTTGCCGCTGATATCTCACGGGACTCTGCCGGCTGCTGGTTGTGGCCTCCCAGGGCGATCCTCTGTGCCTCTCGAGGGGGGCGGGGGCTTTTCTGGTCGCAGTCTCCCTGGGGTTCCTGTGCTCTGGGGCAGCTCCTGGATCTCTGGGACTTGGAGCTCCTTCCATCTCCTACACATCTTTAGGGGGCAGATCTGCAGCCCCTCACACTCTCTATTGGACGCTCCTATAGAGACACCTTACATAAACAAGCGCGTGTACACACACAGGTGCTCACATGGTGCTCTCATAAGTATGGACTTGGGCACGTTCAACACTTGTCTTAAGGCTGTGGTTGGCACTAAATGCACTGTGATTTGTTATCATGTGATTGTTCAGTAAAACAATGTTGATTTTACATTTCTTCATCAAGTTGACGCAGTGATAGCTTGCTCCTGTTGTATTGTTGTGTGTCCCTTTTCTGCAGGTGTAGAAGCAGACTCTTGTTCATCATTGATTGTTTATTTTTGTGGACCCCCCCCCCCCCCCCCCCCCCCACACACACACACACACACACACACACACACACCTTTTGTCTCTTCCTTTCTCTTTCACCTCTGTCTCTGTGTCTGGTCGGAATTACAAAGCATTCAAAAAATAATAACAATAAAGGTTTAAGTATCAGGCGTGACATTAAAAGCAAACACTTTGATGCTAGCCTAGTGAACTAGACCAAATTCTTGCTTTGCAAAGAGTGGTCTAGGCATGCTCCATTGGAACCTCAGCAGCTCCTACCAGGACTTTGGCTAGCCAATCACAGCTCTCTAGAGGGGTTTCAAACACATAAAGAGCTGTGATTGGTCCATAATGGTGGGCCAATCATAGTGCTCTATCTGCTTAGTGAACAAATCACAGAGCTTTATCTGCTTTGTGGGCCAATCAGGGCACTCTATATGCCTGGTGGGTGGGATGATGCAACAGAGTGAAACAAGAGTATGTCACATTCATTGTCGAGTGGAATGTGGAGTTCATTTGAAAGACAATGGTAGAACCCGCCCCACAACCGAGAGCCGTCAATGGAGCGTGGCCAGACTAAATAATACATTTATTTAGTCTGGCTTGCCAGGCTACTTTGATGCTCCACCTGAGAGTAAATCTGTAAGGCTTGTAACCAGCATTCAGACATTAATTCAGTTTGCTTCACAACCAGACAGGACACGGAAAAAAAATTATAAAAAAGTTCAAGCAAAATGAAAGCAAGGTCTTTTTGCTCGTGACACAATCAAGAACCAATGCAAACAAGAGTAGCGTGTGATACAGAGGGAAGAAATGCAACCATCTGTTCTTTTTGTTCATTTACTTTCAACTTACTGAAAGGACACAAGCATACTAGTGATGGGAATTCCGGCTCTTTTTAGAGAGCCGGTTCTTTTGGCTCAGCTCACCAAAAAGAGCCGGCTCTTTCAGCTCCCAAGTGGTTCCTCAGATTTTCTGTTGCGTAGAGTACATTTATAACCAAAATAATGCTAAACTATATGTAAAATGATTTACTAATGTAAAAAAATGCTATATATCAAATATTTATCATTTCTATGGATTTAGTAACTGAACACTTTCAGAAATCTCCACTTTCCGACCGCTGGCGCTCATTTTCTCACTGTCTTTGTTACACTCTCCTCTTGCTCTCTCTCGCCTTTTTCCTCCTCCTCATTCCCTCTCGTCTTCCTCTGCCCGCATGTGCTCTGCTGTGTGTCTGAGTCTTATCCTCCCTCTTCCCCGCCCCTACTGCTCTGTGTGTGGACAGTCTTGACACGCAGTTACACATGCTGACCAATTGCCTGTGGCTTTCACCAAAGCAAAAGGGGAGGGGGGGAGGGGAGGGGACGGCTCCCAATGACGAGCCGGCTCCCGTCGTTCACTTCAAAGAGCCGGCTCTTAGAGCCGGTTCGTTCATGGCCGACACATCACTAAAGCATACTTCTGTGTGATTTTGTGACAGACACATAGAATCACGCTCTGCATCAAACACATTGTTGGGGATTGAAAGCAAAGTAGCATTGGCTGCTTATAGCAAAAGGTTTGGTTTATACAAAAAGAAACAGTATTAGTCTCCTGCACATCCAACACGACGGCCAAACCTGAATATGGCTCTATGCAGGCTTCGATTTAGGGGGAACTAGGGGAAACATGGCTCCCCCGGAAGCCCTCTACCAACACCCAGGGGAAAAAGAAGATCAGATGAACCCCCACCCCCCACTCTCGCAGTGTTTTAACAGAGATGATCTTTTGACACCCACACCCCACCCCCGGTAACACTGAGCTACCCAGAGGCCTCTGTGTGTTTCAAGCCCTGGTTTTATGGCTCTTAATGTAACTTTTAGGCCAAACTGGTGCACATTCAGTCATTTTGATTTGTGTCCAGATTCCTAAAATGTTTGGCGTTCTCTCTGCATCACAGATAAAGACTAGTTTGGCAACGGTGGAGTTCCCATCAACTGGCCCATCCAATCTTAGCAAAATCCATTTCAACTCTCGCATCTTTCCAAAATCCCTTTAGGTTTCTCTCTCCGTGCCCGTTATTGCTGCATGGATTTCCATTCCGTTGTGTTTTTTGGAGGATTACATACTCACATAAGTAAATATCTGCTGTGGTTTCCTGCAGAGGAGCCTGCCTGAGTGTAGCTCTCTGTGATGTCTTTCTTTCAGATTTACCAGAAAGCTGAGTTTTTAAGGTTGTGATTTTTTTTTTTTTGTGGTTAAGCAAGAAATGGTATTATTGCATACTGTGAAGTATTCAGTACACACAGCTTGCAATTTCTGCACCATGTTTCTTTCTAATAAAGTGATAAAGACATTAGAACTGTTGCATAAACACAAAATAACAGAATTGTCTTTCGTATGCAAACTGAAGTAGAACTGTTACGTTTAGAGAGAATGTTAGAGAATCTTTAATGCACCTTATTACCACGTCTTGCATTTTTACCAGATTCTTATATTTTGTTTTCTTTCTGCAGCTTTGAGGGACAACAGGATTGAGCTTGTCCGTGCGTCATGGGCAGAGTTGACCATCAGCATCAGCGATGTCACGCTGTCAGATGAAGGCTTTTACACCTGCTCTCTCTTCACCATGCCGGTCAGAACGGCCAAAGCTTACCTAACTGTTCTAGGTGAGAACACAATCCACACAAAAGCACTACACTTCTGCTTGACTTACCGGAAATCATAAAAGGATGGTAGACTGTTGCATGACATCCTTTCTCAGCCATTGAAACATTTTCATAAAGAAGGGGCAATGTTTTGTCTGTCTGCTGTGGGGCCACAGAAATAATATATTTGACTTGAAATTTCTGGCAAAAGAGAAGCAAAAAAATAAAATAAAAAATGCTAAATGTTATTTTTTTCCCCTCCAAGGTGCGCCATTAACTCATTCACTCCCAGACGTTTCCTGGTCAGTAAAGCCCTTTGCTGCCAGCGTTTTTCTGAGTTTTCACAGTTTTTTAAGAGTCACAGAACGTTGCGCTCTAGGATGATGTCAACGCCAAAACTACTAAAACAAAGAGTAGACTCACCTCTTACATCAGGAGGAATCCACTCGTTCCGAGCGTTATCCGTTCTTTCATAATCCATGGTCGAATTGTGATCGGCAGAAGCTTTACCGTTTAGCGCCTTACTTTTTTTACAGCAGCGGCCCAAAACGATCCGAAGACGTGGATTTTCTGCTTCCTGATCACGTGACGTGTGGCGTGTGACGTATGCGGATGAAGATTGGCTTTAGAGCTGGGATGTTTGTTCTCACGGTGCGGGGGCTCGTTCCGACGCCCACACAGTAAAAAAAAATGCAAATGATGACTTCAGTCGTCAATGACAGTGAATGAGTTAAGTGACCATAAATTTCATTCAAATGATTGAAGCAGATTCGATGTTCCTCACTGACCTTCATTGTACCAGCCTTTGTGAACAACGGTAACACATCCGCCTTTTCAGGAAGTTACTTTTTTGTAGTTTATGCCAAGCCTGTCGTTTGCTCTGCTCAAGCCCGCACCATGCTGCGTATTTCGGCTGCAGAACCAAACTTTTTTACAGTGTACCTGTTGAAACTGTTGTTTGACTAAAGATTTTATTTGATTTGCTTAGTTGGAAATTGCCTGTTGCTTCTGCCTGCAGATACACACAAACACAGTTAGTCAACCCCCCCATCCCCCCCCCCCCCCCCCACGCACACACACCCCTTTAAAGTGTGTTGTGATCATTGCCTTACACAAACACTGTTTCATTTCCTGCTGCTGGCCTTATTAGTTTTCCCAATTAGTTGTCACTAATGTTAATAGATGTGTTCGTGCACTCCAGGACCATTAGCTGGCTCTTTGTGGTAACTAGCATTCTCCAAATTAGACGCATTACTGGCTACCGCTCAATAAGGATGTGGAGAAATTTATTTTGCGAGGCTGAACAATAGTTAATGGTGCACGCCAGGAAACAAAGAAGGGGATTTCATAATCATACTAAATGCTCTGGAAATGTTTTATCTGCTGGAACATCGGGACAGTAAGTGCTGGGGAGGAATGCAAGAAAAATGAGTTTAAGTCAACATGGAAACTGCAAATTCCAATCTTATGCTGTACAAATACTAATAAAGTCCACGTCAATTTTAGTAAAATGCTCATGAACACGGGGCTAATAAATTGCCAAATCCTCATTAATGGGAATAGTCCACACAAGAGCAGCAATGCATAATGATTTTTGATTCTCAGATGGAAGTCAGGACTAAAAACCAAAAACACCAGACATGCAACACTCACGTTCACAAGCTGGCACTTGAGGTTTTTGTTCAAAACACATTTGATTAAAGCTTTGCACAGAAAAATCTGCATATTGTATTTTGCTGCAAGGTATGATATATTGAGATGTATTGAGAAGTAAATATCAGTCCCCTTTGACCCTTATTTACGTCATTATTTGTTTTCTTTATCACAAAACGCTCAGGCCCAGGTTCACCCAACAAAATCTTTTTCTTTTCTTTCTGCTCCTTTTCAGCATCCCATTCACAAAGCAAGTAGCACAAATTATATGCTTGTTGCGTGGTCAAGTTCACTAAGTGTTAGCAAGTTACACCCCGTTAGCATAGCATTTCATATCAGTTGTTCTTTTTGCAAATTTCTAAAATGAACACCCGTCACAAACAAGAAAATGTGCAGAGAAAACACGGTGAGCTCCAGGTTTGGGGTGAAGAACAGAGGCGCTCATTAAAACTCTAAAACAGACATCTGAATGTAGCTGGGAGGAGAGATGGTCAGGGAGGTCACTATTAGGGGTTGTATGAACTAGTCGACTTCACGGCTCTGTAGTGACTTTTTATGCCTGTCATCGACTAGTTGCTGTCACGTGATAATGACTGACAAGATGCAGTCCTCGGAAAAGACAGCAGGTGATGAGCCCCTGCGTCGGGAGGCGGAGGCAACGCGCTGTGCCAGAGCGTCGACACCGGCGGTAAAACTGACATTTAACCAAACTGTGACCTTTTCCCTCTTGCAATTTTACCTTCCCCTCACCCCCATCCTAATCTTAACCAGCTTGCGCATGCAAAGCTTTGATCGTTGACGCGCTCCAGACATCTGCGTCCTGAGCACGGCCACACTAACATTATCAAATTAGGTGTCATCACCACCTCAAAAACAAATTTAACACACGATCGTTCATGTCGGCTAACTTCCTTTTATGTTTTCTGTCTTTTATTTGTGCCTGATGCGTTTCGCTGCTGTGGAGCCAGGCAAATCACCTGTTTTGTCCTCCAGTGATGCCCCTCACTTACCCCAAAATTCCACTATCTCCGCTCCGCCCCCGCTTTCCGCTGCCGTTCGCTTTGCGGACGGCGAGCAGCGCGCACTCCGCTGTTTTTGCGGTCGGTAGATCTTTTAGAACTGCAGTTCAAAGGCAACTCATGAGGTGAATATCTATGAACCCAGGTAGCAGTTTTTCTTTAGGATTGAGAGGAGATGCAGGAAGATAAACAGACAGGACAGAAAAATAGTCAAATAAAAATAAGTTTGTTTTTGTACCTGGTGGTTGCAACGAACAGACACCATTGAAGGTAATCAGAAGTGAGGAACAGAAAATGAAATAATTATTTTAATGTTTAGAGCAGCAGGAAAGGCTGCAGGCGCATCAGTGAGTTTGCGGCTGCTGCGCAGGGGGAGGGGGGAGAGGGCTGAAGTAGGAAGCAGAAACTACCGTTATTAAAAGAGATGTGTTAACTTAGAAAATGTGGGTGCAATTTTTATTGTCAAAAACTCCAGCGACCCTACCGACCCCCCCCCCCCCCCCGCCGCTTAAGGTGTTTGTCGTCATCAATCGAAGTCGACTCGATTTTCATTACTTGATTGTCGACTTTAAAAAAAATTAAGTCATGCAACCCCTAGTCACTTTACATCTATAAATTACATTTTCTGCTTTTTGGATCAGTGCTGCATTCTCTTTATTTTCACTTAAAGACAACGTTAGCTTAGCCACCAGCTAGCGGAGGAGCGTCAGGCTGGAGGAGAAGGAACTTTAGGAGGTGGACACGATGAGCTCCTGACGAATTTGAGGTATCCTTCGATTTTATTGTTTGTTATTCAAACAAACTGATTACAGCGGTGTACATATTCTCTTCTTCTTCTTAGTTGATTTGGCAGAGTCCACACCTCCGGGGCAAACTGCTGCCCTCCTCTGTTTCTTTCAGGTTACAGTCAAAGTGCAAACTTGAAAGGCAAAGCTTGTATGTCCCTAAATTGCCACTGTATTTCAAGATGGCGCATGACCATGGCACAATAACCACAGTTTACCGTAAATCCTCTAATATTAGCCTGTATTCATTTAACTGCCAGGTATCATATTTTGGCCGGTGTCGGAGTTGGCGGAGGTGAATAATGGCCGGTTTTTTATTGTGGCCGGGTGGAATGTGGTAACAAGCAAGTACGGGGGGCAGTTGTGTCATCCATCTCACTTTTGATTTGCCAGTGATAGACCGCGAGGGTAACTTTAACCGTGCGGAGACGAAGAGGAGGCGAAAATTTGATATCAAGTTCAAAGAGAACGTGCTTATTATGCTGCAGAACACTCTGGGGAGCAGTAGCAGGGGTTGTATGAACTAGTCACTAGTCGACTTCACCGCTCTATAGTGACTTTTTATGCCTGTCACCGACTAGTCGCTGTCACGTGATAATGACCGGCAAGATGCAGTCCATGGAAAAGACAGCAGCCTGCTGTCAGCAGGTGACAAGCTCCTGCGCGTCGGGAGGCGACGCGCTGTGCCAGAGCGTCGGTACTGACACTCGCCGTAAAACGGACATTTAACCAAATTGTGACCTTTTCCCTCTTGCAATTTATCCTCCCCCTCACCCCCATCCTAACCTTAACCAGCTTGCGCATGCAAAGCTCTGACTGTTCATGCGCTCCAGACATCTGCGTCCTGAGCACCACCACAGTAACATTATCAAATCAGGTGTTGCCACCTCAAAAACTAATTTAACACGCAATCGTTCATGTCGGCTCATTTCCTTTTATGTTTTCTGTCTTTTATTCTTTTATTTGTGCCTGATGCCTTTTGTTGCTGTGCTTTTATCCATGAAAGGTGAAATAGAAGTAAAGGTTACTTACTTGTGAAAAAGGACAATTTTGATAGTAAACAGGTAAAGCTATTACACACTGTGGCTTTAAACCATCTGAGTGTGACACTTGGAATGTGTACGTTTGCAGTTTATTACAGTAAACTGTGGGAATTGACATTGTGCACACTAAGATTGCAACATTATCAATATATTCACGCAGCCCTAACATCAAACATAATATGTACCACGTTTGATGCAATTAGGAAACAGCAGCCGTTGTCATGGAAACATAACTAATTTTTTCCCCTCAAACAAATGATAAAGAGGAGTACCTTTCGTTGTAGTCATACCTCTTTAAGTCTTTCAGACAACAGATATGCAAAAGTCAGTCAGTGGAATTGACTGGCGGGCCTTTCAGTCACCCAGCCTGAGGTGAACCTATTGCTCATTGACAACAGAAGCGCAGGCCCAAGTTTCTTTAAACACTCAATACAGCAAAGGCCAGTAATTAACATTTTCTGTGCAACCCTGTGACCTCCTTCTTGGCCACAGGCCCCGCTCATACTTCCACACACATCCAAGTTAACTCATTCACTGCCAGCTGTTTCCTGATCAGTAAAGCCCTTCGCTGCTAGCATTTTTCAGTGTTTTCACTGTTTTTTTAAGAGTCACAGAACGTTGCGCTCTAGGATGATGTCAACGCCAAAACTACCAAAACAAAGAGTAGACTCACCTCTTACATCAGGAGGAATCTGCATGTTTCGAGCGTTACTCGTTCTTTCATAATCCGTTGTTGAATTGTGATCGGCAGAAGCTTTTCCAGTTCGCGCTTCACTTTCTTTACAGCAGTGGCCCAAAACGACCTCCTAACACGTGGATTTTCTGCTTCCTGATCACGTGACGTGTGATGTACATGGATGAAGATCGACTTTAGAGCTGGGATCTTTGTTCTCATGGTGCGGGGGCTCGTCCCACACAGTAAAAAAAATGCAAATGACGACTTTAGTCGTCATTTGCAGTGAACGTTTGGATTTAAAATGACGACTTTTGTCGTCAATGGCAGTGAATGAGTTAAGGTTTTAACATAACCTTTGTTCTGCGACTCATGCCTTATAAGCTGTGGGAGTTGTCATGGTGATTAAAGGTCCAGTGCTTTTGCTAATGTCTTTGGACAAGCTAGAAAGAAAAAAAAAGCTGGATCAGACATTTTTTTTTCTAGTTCTGAGAGCGTCATGCACAAAACTCCATTCAAAACACACCAGGCTGAAGTGAGAAATATATCAAAGAAGCCTCGGCTGAAATGTGATTGTGTGGACCCACTGCATGGAGAAGCTCTGGAGTGTGCTTCTTAATCTCTCTGCAGGTGTGTGAGCCGGAGGTGAATTTCCACCAAGGCCTATTAGAATTATTGTTGCATAATGACACGCTGCTGCGTGTGAATCGTTTCCTTCACTGTGATGTTCTCTCCATAATGCAGGTGTGCCAGAGAAGCCAGAGATCAACGGCCTGACAAATCCAGCCATGGAGGGGGACTACATCACCCTGACCTGCATCACCCAGGGCAGCAAGCCCGCCGCAGACCTACGTTGGTTCAGGAATGAAAAGGAGGTCAAAGGTGAGTCGTGCCTCTGACTGTTTTTAAATGCTTCACGTCTGTGAGAGGCTGAGTGATAGTCTGGTCTTTTGTCATTCAAGCATCACATCGAGGCTTTCAGTGCAATTATGAACATGAAGAGTTCTAAGAGAAATTATGAGTTATTTTTCCTTCAATAGGGCGAGGATTGTGTGTTTGTACCTGTTTAAAAGTGGCAGACATTTTTCAGAGGAAGACTGGGTCTTTATTTCTGATTCTTTCTTATTTTTGTGAGTAAAAGTATTCTCCTCGAGGCTGGAAGTGAAGACCTTCAGTTTCTGTCTTTGTGTAAATCTCTAACTTGTGTTGTGAGTTTAAAGATGCCACATGTGCACCACAGTGTTGGCCAATGAAGTACTGAAAACTCTAATAAACTAAGGAAAATGATATCATGCACACGTTTTAAACCACAAGTTTTAACGTTTTAATTTTACGAACACACTTGAGATTTCTGACATGGCATCAAATTAGAGTTCCTTCTAATTTTATTAGAGAAAAATCTAAATGTTTATTGTTGGATTACCCTTGTAAAAAATTAGTTTTCAGACAGTTGGTGGTTACTTTAGCCATTTTAAATCACGCTTGTGATAGGTAGGGTTAACCCTCATTAGGGAGAAACAGGGTTTACATCCATTGGGACTAATGAGCTAACAGCCAGGTTGAGCTCAGCCAAGACCACAGTGTAAAGCAGCTTCAGTTTCTAAGATTTCACCGCAGTTCATGCAAATATTTTATTTTATTAATTTTTTTCTTTTAATAATTTTCACACCATCGATTTTTCTTCCCATCATCATTTTCTGTGATCTTTAGTTATTTTCAATAGTAAATATAGCTGCAGCAAAATGTGCTAAAATATCCGATAGCTGCAGCCCTTTAGGTATGTGTGTGTCAAAACTTAAAAAAAATGTATTTTTTAACTTAAAGCCATGTGGCTTGTGTCTTATTTTCCACATTAGGTATTCTGCTCTGTCCTCAGACAATTACATTGACCCCACATATTATCAGTGAGCTGCTCTAAGTATTACACAATAAACTACAACCCTCATTTCCTCCCTGCTCCTGCTTTAACTCGATGAGCCATCGGCTTTGAACAAGGCAGCAGGAGCAGGGTCAGGGAGGCCACCGAGGAAAAGTAAAACGATTAGATAGTAAAATGATGAGATTAAGTCATTGGAGGAAGAAAAGAAACAGATGTGTCCATGAATGAGAAAAAATGTAGACTGCTGCTTCGTATCTCACCTTCACAATGTGTTTATTTATTTATTTATTTACAAATAATTTATTTTTGAATACAAATCCCAGGTTTTCTGGCACAAATTGATACAAATGGGGGTCTGCTCACTCAAAGTCACAATTTTAATTTACAGAAACAGAATATTCTAGTAAACATTCATTATAATGTGTCAGCTGCGTGAAAAGATGCTGCCAAAGTGTTTGCATAAGCCATCAGATCACTGCCTCCCAGAAATGAAAATAACAAGCAGTCAGGTGTTGCACATCCTAAATCCCAATTAATCGTTGCAGAAGTTCCTTGAAGAGAAGGATTTCGAATGCAGAACACAAACACTTCACAGAGTCACGCTTTATTATTCCACAATTTGCTTTTCCTTTGCTCAAACAAGGGATTAATAAACCGCAAAATATATTTTTTTCCTGTGAGCATGAATGATTTTTTTACCCTCATTAACATATTCATATTTTTTTTCTTTCCGCTTTAAGAGACATGAATCCTTTCATCTACCAGACACACGTTTACTCCTCAAACTAACTTTAGTTTGCTTGTATTTAGTCACTTTAAAGTGACAATGTGTTGTTTTAACAATCTCTGGAAATATCCATCAAATTGTTGTTGTAAATGGATTAAAAGTTGCCCAGTTGTTGGAAAATATTGGCAATTTCATAACATATCACCATAAAACTCTGTTCTAAAATACACATTTACCTCTTCACTCATTGTCAGTGATGAAAGGGAGTCTGACGTGCTCGTCGTTTTGCTGGAGGTTGCACTTCCAGGGATTTTTGACCCTAATGGCCATCCGTTGGTAAGGTCTTACTTGAGCACAAAAATAATGCTTGCTTGCCGTGATTTAGGTATGTACTGCCCCCTATCGCCAGGAAAATGGCAAACTGTCACTTTAATAATAAGTCTATTAGTTCCAATCCATCCGCTCATTATTTCCCCTATAATTTAGTTTTGTTTTGCCCACAAATGCATGGAAAATAAATAGTATGGCTAAAAGAAGTCCACTATCCTTTGTTTGCTCTTAACTATTAGAGATTACAGTGAATTTAAAACAAGCAACCTTTCACCTACACATGAATAAGTGAGTGTTTTCTATATTTCTAATGATATAACTAATTGATGTTTTTTGTAACATATTGCATTAGCCATTCCAACTTGTTATCTCATTTGCGTCCCTTCTGAGGAACAAGCAAGAACAACCAGTACATGGTACACTAATTAAGCTGTACGTGTGTTTTCCTAACAGGCTCATTGTTTCTATTTGGGTGATTCTTGCTTCTCCCAGTGGAACCACCACAGAGACAAGCTCCCACTAAAGAGAACTCTCAGGACATTGTGTTTCATTATTAGTAGTATTATTTTTAATTGAACAGTGAAAGTTAAAAGGCAACGAGAGGCGCATGCAGTCAGCTGAGGTTAAGAAATGCAGCTTTAAAGTAACAGTGAGCAATTTCCTGCTCCTCCGACCTACTGGTTGAAAGTGGAATTACAACTTTTGCAAACAACCCTGCTGTAGCTAGTGCTAGCAAGGAGCTAACACTAACATGTGCCAACTAATACTAAAATAAACCACAAAGAAAAAAGCTCCACACTGTTGGACAAAGAATATTATTACTTATGCTGTTGGACTTGTCATCTGCCTTCGATACGGTGGATTGTGGAATTTTCTTTTCTTGTCTCGCTCAGTGGGGGGGCATCAGTGGTGCAGCGCTAAATTGGTTTAGGTTCCTTTCTAACTGACCGTACATGCTGCGCCCACCTTGGTAACCATGCGTCCTCCTCTGCTCTACTCAGGTGTGAAGTCCCCCACAGCTCTGTTCTTGCCCCCCTCCTGTTCACACTGTACCTGCTCCACTGACACCCCTGATATAGAAGTTGTTTCTCTGACCCGAGCCAACTGTTACTAACCTAGGGGACATAGTGGATGCTGGATTAAAGTTAGACAACCACATTAGATCAGTTGTTAAGTCTAACTTTTTTCTTCATTTAAAGAAGCTGGCAACAGGAAAGCCCATCCTGTCCCAGTAGCATTTTGAAACGGTAATCCATGCCTTTGTTACGACGCGGCTGGACTACTGTAATGGCCTGTACGCAGGAATAAATGACGCCTGTGTCCCTCAGCTACAGAGAGTACAGAATGCAGCTGCCCGCCTCTTAACAGGAACAAAGAAGTCTGATCATATCTCTCCTTTTCTGACCGAATTGCACTGGCTGCCTGTGTCTTTTAGAATTTGTTTTTAAATTATTGTATTTGCTTTTAAATCTCTTAATGTCCTTGCCCCACCTTACCTGTGTGAGCTGCTACACCCATACAGTCCTCCCTGTTCCCTCAGGTAAGCCGCGGAGAGGACCGGGCCATGGTATTTCCCCTATTTTCCCAGATCAGATGACTCTGAACTCCTTAAACGTTCCTCATTCACATTTACAGACAATTGATTTATACGTATCTACATGCCATCTCAATCGTGAGATCATTTCTCGCTATTCAAAATAAAATCTTGATATTGACACTGTGGCACAGAGAAGCACTCTTGATGTCTAGTACAAATGTCAGATTTGAGATAGTTCTGTCTGCTGCTGGACTCTTTGGAGATGGTGTCTGGCTGAATTCACTGAAAGGCTAACGTTCACTCTCTCGGGATCTGCCATTACACCTTTTATACCCAAAAGCTTAAGTCGGAGCAGCTCAATCTGCTATCAGGCATTAAGGTTTCCCAGGTTCCAGATAAGCACACAGATAAGAGCCAAATCAATATGGCTCCTTCCTCACTCCTTTGAGCAGACATCTGTGTTATCTTTCATTTTAATTACTTGGTGGATTATATTGAATCTACGTCATCAGACTTATTCAGACTTGTGGGCAATATCCTCTTTACTAAAAAAATAATAATTAAAGGCCTTGCTAATCTCAAACAATGGATCTGGTCGAAGTCAGGATTCTGATTTTTAACATCTCTAATGTCCCCTCTAACCAGTCCAAAGGTATGAGCATTTATATGTTAGTATTTTAGTTTTTCTATTATTTTGTGGCTCTAGAGAAGGCTTATCATGTGTCCCCTGAAGCGTTTGGTGAGTACGGGACGCTGGGGCAACATTTTAGGGCCACCAGGTTCTTGTGACCAGTGTTGGGAACGTTACTTTAAAAAGTAATTAGTTATAGTTACTGATTACTTTGTCAAAAAAGTAACTCAGTTACTAACTGAGTTACAAGATCATAAAAGTAACTAATTACCAACAAAAGTAACTACTTAGTTACTTTTTCATTAAAGCATGCAAGAATTACTACAATAGTAAAATATAAATGACTAATGACTGAACATAATAAAATGTATGTCCAAATGTTTTATATAAACCTGAATAATTTAAACAAATAAGCACTTAACAGGAGGAACTACTAATAGGAACATTAAACTAATCTAGACTATTAAAAGGTCACTGTGTGATATTTAACAAAAACCCAATCAGCTAAAATTTAAAATTGCAAATAGAAAAACCTGTAAAGGTTCCCGAGCCTTTAAATGGTCTCTCAGTCTAGTTAAATTACAGAAATAAATGTAATTTTGCACAGCATTCTAATTTTTACAGCTTCACATAATTGTGTGTTTTTACCAGCATTTCTGTTGCTGGTAATCTAGTAATGGTTAAATAAATAAATAAATATCCTTTAAAATGACACTAGAAGAGGCACAGATCTGATGGAGGACTTACATTTACTAACTTGGGTCAGACCCAAACACAG